GGGCTGTTGTCTTCTTCTCTCTCCTTTGTCTATTCTCCCTCTCTCCTCCTTCGTCTGTGTATGATTCTCACCTCATTCTATCATCACACATATTACGATTGTTTGTCATTTCATCAGCAGATCGATAATCATAGGGACTGGTAATGTTGACGAGTATGATCACGTCTGGGCTCATTGCATAATAGTTTGCGTTCAATTATGCAAATGATTGGAGAATCATGTATGAATAATATGATTACAAGCTGCACACCAAATTGCAAACAAACCATGCAAGCAGTCATATGTCAACAAATGGAACAAAAGTTCAAAACTCTGTTGACTTTTTAAGTCGGTAGAGAGACAGAGAGGCAAGGCAGGCAGGCAGGCAGGCAGGCAGGCAGGCAGGCAGGCAGGCAGGCAGGCAGGCAGGCAGGCAGGCAGACAGAGACAGACAGACAGATTGTGCAGCTGTGGTGCATTGCAATGGGTGCAGTCTCTTGCAGGCCATGGCTACCATGCGTCAATCTTGCCATGGCCCGAAAGAGCCAGTGTCTCAACGCTGCCAAAACCATGCGCGCAAGAGAGACACAGAAGGTGAAAGCATGAGAGAGAGAGAGAGAGCTCACATGGTGGTGGTCGCTGGCCTCCGTTGTGGTCCCGAGACAACGTAAAAAAAAAAAAAAAAAAAAAAAAAAAAAGCAAACAGAACCTTTCGTTTCTGGCTCCTTTCCATTCTGGGGAACGCCAGTCCGGTTCCTATTCCACTGCAAGTCAAAAAAAATGACATCAGTTACACACCAACGCTCCTCCCCATTATGGTTGAGAGGCCCGAGTGGACGGCATTGATTACTTCCTTTGTGAACGACGTACCACCCCTCACCCCTGCCTCTTTTTTTTTTCTTTTTTTTTTTTAAGCAGAACCTCCTGGTTCTGGCTCCTACCATTCTGGGGAGCAACAGTCCGGCTCCTATTCCCCCGGCAAGTCAAATTGGGATACATAAGCGACTCACGCACGCTCCTCCCCATTATGGCTGGGAGGCCCGAGTGGACGGCATTGATTACTTCCCTGAGGTCGGATGTACCACCCCTCACCCCTGCCTAAGTTAGCCTGTGCTACTTATTCTACCTGGCTGTTTCCAAACTGTCTGGCCCCTGTCTTGCTCCTCTCAGTTGTGGTGCTGTCGAGTTGATGTGTTGTACTAGAGCGGTCTGGAGCGCGTGTGCTGTTTGGAGGTTTCTAAAACTCTAAACCCCTGCTTATCCCGTTTCTGTCTAGACTTTAAACCCTAAACCCTCGGTTGTGTTGTTTTTTTTTCTAGCTGTCAGCTATGTCCCTTGACGTCAGAACTGCTGGAAGGGCCCTTTGGTGTAGACTTATGTTGGACCCCAATCCCTATTTGACTTGTCAAAAGTGAGCTCCGTGCCCTCACTGGTATGAATGGGGAATTGCAGATCTTGACTTCTTCAGGTTCTGGTATCTTACTGTTTGAAAGACTCTCCTCCTTGTCTGTCGGTCGTTCTTGTGTAGCTAACAGAACTGAGTTGCTCTTGTACCCCTCCACTTAAAAATCTGGCTATTGTTTACCATGCCCGTAGGCTGCTTTCTATATGTCGGATCATGCGTTTATTGGTTTTAAGGTCGTTGAAGGCAGAAGGCACGTTGAGGTTGGGAGCTTGGAGTGTTCTTCTTGGTGGGGGGTGGTGTGGTGGGTACTAGGTGGTAGGATTTAGTGTGGAGCAGATGACGTAGGTGAGTTGGGTTTGTGTTGTGGGAGTGAGACCTGAAGGATGGGAAGGTATTTAGATTGGTGAGGTTGAGTTCGGGAGAAGTTTAAAGATGGGCGGTGGTTGGGGGGGGTGCGATCATGGGTGGTTAGGCTGGCTTGATAGAAAGGTTCATAGAGCGGTATCTGTTCCATTAAGTGTGATGGGAGATAGGGTGTTTGCTCATGCGGGGTGCGTCAGAGTGATAGGGTTTTGGATATTTGATGTGGGTATAACTATCCAGTCTTTTAAGCGCAGTCTTTCTCTTTCTATTGTTCCTAGTTTCCCATTACCTAGATGCAGGGAATTGATTTATTAATGACCTCTTGTCTCTTATCTGGGGCATTATGTAGGGACTGGTTTCGTGTATGTTCTGTTCCATAATGCTTGAATTTCGGTATCCACCATTTGTTTAATGGCTACGAGGGGATTTTCAGGGGAGTTAATAGAATCCTTGAAGGTTGCTTTGCATCTCCTTTTCCAGGTAGCCCAAAAGGTCGATTTTTTTATGAGTGAGAAGAAGAAAAGCTCGAATCCTTCGAGCGGTGGGTGTTGTCCTACTTCTAAGAACAGGGTGCCTGGGTTGATCGCGATGGTTTTATTAGAGTGTTTGTTCCAGGTTAATTCCATATCGTACCAGAGTTGCTTTGCCTTTGGGCAATCTATGAAGCAATGGTTGAGTGATTCTTCGAGTTGGGCGTTGCACACCCTGCACCAGGATGTTTGCTCGGTGTCGTCATCTTTCCTTCTCCTTTGCGCTAGCCAGAGGTTGACAGGTACTGCTTGAAATGTTATGAGCCATAGCAGGCTAGCTAGTTTGAGTGGTCTGGTGCAAAAGATAGCAGCCCATGATGGGTTGATGTTGACTGCTGTGTTCCTCTTTTTCCCATCGTTTTCGTATGATAGTGGGTATGGAGAGGGGTTTGTTGTGGAGCTTGTAGCCTAATTTGGGTGTGTAGTCGGTGAGTGCATAGCGGCGCTCTCTTGTGGAATGCGGGTTGATTCTGCTCCAAGACCATTCAGCTGGATCTATTTCTAGGTGTTTTATTTGTGTTTCGGGTCGATAGACTCTGTTTCTGTCTCCTTCTATGACCCGGATTCTTCTGAGGTTCGATGATTTGAAGGCCCCTTCTGCTCTTGGTTCTTTGCTGATGAAACTTGCAGGGTTTTATGGTTCCTGTAGGGGATGGGTGGAACAGAGTATCCAGTTCTTATTTTGTAGGTTGTTGTTTGTCACTCTTAGTATTTCTGAGGGTTGTGCTTGATCCCTGTTCGTTGCCCACTTTCCCCACATCCAATTTTGGTTAGTCTTCAATAATTGACGCCGTTCTAGGGGTATGCTTTTGATGATGTGGTTGATGTTGGCCTGCAGGTTGTGGCCGCCTTTTAGTGGGTTCTGCAGATCCTTTGCAGTCTTCCAGTTGTTTGTTGATTCATTCCAGAGATGATGAACTTGTCATACACCTTTCTCTATCCAATGTCCACATAAAAACTTTTAACCCCTAAAAATTACCTTACTTAGAGGCCTGCCCCTTTTTCTTCCTCTCAGCCTCTTGGCTGTCAGATTTATGCTATAAGATCTGGACTTCTATGGTGTGCCCTTTGCTGTCCCCTTTCTAAAACCCTAAACCCTAGGAACTTGAACTTAGGTTCTACTGGCTGTAGTGCTGAAACCCTACGTTCTGTGTGCCCTATTCTCTTTTGGATCTAGTGAACCAGGATCTTGATAATGCTCAGTTTCCTGGCAATAGTGAACCTTAGTGTACTTCTATAGTTCGCTGTGACTTCTTTAAGGTTGTTCTGTTGCTAAGCGGGGTGATTGGGAGAGGAAGAGGGGAACGGGGAGGCCTGTGAGCTGGGGAAGGTTTCGTAGTTCTGAAAAGAGGGGGGTAGGTCTGTGGGCGAGAGGTGGTCCCGAAACAAGAAGGAAAAAAACAAATCTGTCAGAATTTCTCGGAAATTCGTTTGGAGAGTAAAAAACTTGCCACAAATTGTGCACTGGTGAATTACAACAGGCCGCCCTACCCCTTCCACTTCTACAAGCCCCCCCCACTTCTAGAAATTCTGGAAGTCTGCCTGAAAAAACAAAGGCCACATAACAATTTTCGCACTGGCCAGCTGCCTTGAAATGTTGACATGTTAGGCTTGGTAGACGGCAGCGGATTGGTTTGAGACCGCAGCCACCAGGTTACTGGTGGTTTAAAGAAGAGTTTCATTCTTATGTTAAATGACATAAAACACACAAGAAACCAGTCATAGCAGCAGCTCATATTCCCACCTTATTCTGAATGATTGCTTTCAGAGTGGCAGTGCTCTTTGCTAGGGCCTTGGCTTTCTTCTCCAGCTCCTCTGTGCTCGTCAAATGGGCAATGCGTTCATCATCCTTTGAAGACAGGCAAGCAAACAAACAAACCAAGAAATGAATCAGATCCAAACTTCCATGAATGCACCTCCCTGTCTAGATCCTTGACAACTTCTCTGGATGTCAGAAGACAGAAATCAGGATGATTGAACACCTGTACCCTGTGCCATGTCAGGATCCTGGCCGGACTGGAACTATGCAATCAGACAGTTTTGGGCAGCCAAGGCTGCATTTTGGCCCCTGGCCACTTTGTGCAAGGGGCAGTATGGACTCCACATCATTGTGATGAACCTCACTTAGGAAGCTCGCATGATCATTATCATGCATGTACTCTTAAAACTCAAACGGATGACAACACAGCAAAGATACCAATAATGTCACCAAACAAGACAAAAGAAGACGTAGAGTATGAGGAAGAGACACAACGTGATCAATAAATTAAATACAATGTATAAGTCTCTTGGAACAATCCAGGATATATTGCTGGCCTGCTCGTGGTCTGCCATCAGTTCAATGAACATCCTTCCGAAAGTATGGGAACCCTACTGATTCTTTGCAGAGGACCTTCTGGAAAAGAAAATAGATCCAATGAGTAGTACGAAATGGCCCCAAAATATTTTTTTTCTCTGTGGACTTACAATTTTCAAAAGGGAGGGGCACTTTTGGTTACCACGGCCTACCCTTTCCTTTTTTTTTAATTATTTTGTAAATGTGCCGCATCACGTGCGCGTGCACACGTGCACATGCGCTATGCGGCGCACGTGCGCAACTTGCGCGCACGTGATGCGCCGCACGTATGATATTCGCCGTTCAAAAAAAAATAAAAAAAATTGGGGCTGTAGATCTCAAAAAGATTTACAACGAGTGCTGGGCCGGCAACCGGCCGGTTGAGCTACCCCAGTCCAACCGGAGCCGGACCAGCCCAGGGGGGGTTGAACCGGAAAACCGGTTTTGAAAAAAAAGTGCCCAAATATCTTCTTCTTTTTTTTTTTTCAACAGATTCCGACTGCGCTCTTCGAGAGCTGTCGGAATCCGCAATAAATTTTTTGAAGGTGCATTATTTTTCAGGGGGCTTCCAGAGAGGGGCAGCAGGCAACTATGGCTTCCACGGGGAGGGGTCAAGTAAGCAAGTTCACTATCTGACCCCCCCTTGGGTGGAGCAATTTGTGGAGTGGGTCATCTGATGTTATTACCCCACGAGCCGAACCAGATATGATGAGAGGAGGTCCTTGCCAGAACTTATAGCTCTTCCAGAGTATAGCTCGACAGCAGAAGAGTTACGGGTCCAGCTTTCCGCTCGTGGAGGCAGAGCGTTTTCTGTTTGTTCTTTTCTACATAAGGTGAGTTATCAGTCCGGAAGTATCTTGCCTGGCAGTCTGTCCAGATACATGTAGTGGAGCAAGGTCCATTCGAGATAGATAGGGAGAAGAATATAACTTAGGTCCATTCGTGGGCTTGCACCTCGGACGGCTCTGACATCACGATTCCGAAATCCGAACCCATAACTTTTTCCGCAGATGGCAGGGACGTCACAGAAGGATATAATCTCAGCAGAGCCTAATCACAAGCATAGTGTTCCCCTCGTGGCTGAGGGTGAAAGAGCATCAAATGTTGCCTGGTCTACCCGACCCACATCTTAAGAAAAATGTGCAGCGGTTCCCCGCTGCTGATCTGCAAAGATCAGCGGCGGCGGACATCCTCAGCCCATTTTTCTTAAGAAATGGGGTCCAGGATGCCCGTTTTTTTTTTTTTTTAAGAGGCAGGGTCCTCCTTGGGGCTGGGCAATCGCAGGGATGCCCGTGACTCCCTAGTACCCTCCCCCCAGTGCAATGCGCTGGACTCAACCGGGAGTCTGCCGGCCCGGTCAATACAATTAATATGATGAATATATAAACTAATGATCCAAATGAGATACAAATAGAATATAAGTAATAATAGGTAATAAGCGATATAGTTCTATATGATAGAAGAAGAATAGACTATTCTTCTTCTTAATATTTTTTTTCTATATAGAAAGAAAGAGAAATTAAGCAAAATGTAAATAACATGATTTTTATTCATTATCAATACTCACTTCTCAAATATATTAATTTCTAATTCAATAAAATGTATTCTAGTATTCGGTCCGACCGGCAGGCTCCCGGTCGGGGGAGGGGGCCCCCAGTTCAACCGGGGACCAGCCTTGTCTACAACCCTATTTTTTTGCTTTTTTTTTTTGGCTTTTTTTTGGCCCGCGAAAACCTTCACCGCGGGTCGCGGTCATATGCGCCAAACTGGCTATTCAATGCCAGTTTAACGCAGACTCGACACTTGTTAAATTATTTAATGCCGACCCCGCGTTGAATCCAAATTCAGACACTC